ATTCAAGAGAATTATTACCAGTGTATCATTTATTGAGAACCCAATCCTTTCAGGTGCAGAGCAGGTTTCTAGAGGTCATGAGTATCTTAAGGTCCTGGAGTTGGAGGCATTTCTTTGGCCAAGGTTAGATCTTCAGTAATTGTTTGGCATCATGTTGAGCTGGTGACATGAGCTGGGTGAGCATCCTTGCCTGGGTGGAGAACGCTGCACCTCATCCCCAGCAGAGCAGCTCTGGTTTGAGTGGTTCGCTTGTGCTTGCAAGAGAGCACCTGGCATAGGCACTGGGAGCCAGGGCTCCTGCATTCCTGTCCATCCTCTGCAGCTGACTCACTGTGGGCAAGTTATGTCTTGCTGTATCTTGGCTTTCTTTTTGCAAAACGGGGTAATAGCCACCCTTGCACCTTCTCAAAATATTTTGTTGTCCTTAGGTTGAAAAATTTCTACACATATCAGTTCAGTATCATAAGTTGCTTCAAAAATGCTACTAAAACAGCAAATAACTCCTACCTGCCTTCAGTTCTAACCATCCCCATAGATCAGAGAGACAGAGGTGGTTGTTCTGCATGGCCCTTGGTCAAGTGGGAGAATTGTGTGCAGCCACAGGGGAGTTGTCTAAGCAGCAGAGTGCTGGATGACTTTTGCTTTCAAGCAGGCAATAGGGAGTTTGAATTTGAATTTCTGACAATGACGCAGCTTGTTGGAGCCATTATGAATTGAAATGGGGTCTTATTCAGCTCTGCTAATAAGAGGGTAAATGCAACTAAATACAGCTGTCTTCCTCACTGTCATTTGGTATTTATTAGCAAATATGCAGTGGAATTGAATCTCTTGTAAGTACTCTGCAGCTAATGGTAGATAGCAATTAACTGAAATGACTACTGTTGAGCACTGATGCTGCCATCAGTTAGTGGAAGAGGAAATCTGGAGCCAGCGCACAGACTCAGCGACTTCCAGAACTCCCTGTAGTTCTCCCCCTCTGGATATTCTGTTTCATGCCCTTATCGAAAGACTGCAGTGGAAACCACTTCATCTTGGTACTCCCTGGAGCTCCAGCTTGAACAAACACTTCTCAAGCAGCAGTAAGTGTGTGTGTGTGTGTGTATATTATTTTATTATTTTCAGTTTGTGGGTTACTGAAAGGACTCACTTCAATACTACCAGTGAACGTGTGTGGAGTGGAAGCTTTCTCCCCTCCAGATGTGCTGGTGGCACAGAGCTGCCTCTGAAGCACCTCATGTGTTACAGGAGATGTGAAGGAAACTGGCCCAGGCACTTAGAACTAATTGAGAAACTGGGAATGACTGAGTGCATCATTCATTGTTTCATTTTTGGCCTTTCCTCTCCAAACAAAACAAGAGGTTTTGTTTTCTTCCCCTCACTAATAAGGTGACATGTAGGTCAAAGTGGCCCTGAGGTTCTGACCTCCACTGACTGGAGGGAAATCAGCTCTGGTGTGCTGGTTTCAAACTACCAAAAGTAGTCAGAGTCAGGCTAATTTCATGTATATCTGGATTTGTTTGTCACCCTTCCCAGCCAGCCTGTGTTTGATATGGTGCCTTGTGGGGAAACTGCTTGTCAGGAAGGGATTAGTGCTTGAGTTGTGACGTGGGTGGGAAGTGAGGGGCTGTGCTGCCAGGATTGCTGTCAGCAGGGTGCAGAGGCATTGCTGGCCACCTTGCGCAAGAACTGGTCTTGGGGGTGAGCTAATTGAGTATTTTTGTCAGTGCCCTCCCTGTAAAACAGCAGGTTGCTAATGGCTGTGTTGATGATAGTGAAGTATGAGCAGTGCAGGGGAGGATGAGTATTGAATAGGAGGAACTGAATGACTGATAGGTCTGGTGTCATGGCAATGTGATGATATTTAATGGTATGAAGTTGTAAGCACGTGTACTTAGGAGCTAGTAATAAGATTTTCTTCTCGGAGATGGGAGCTCATCATTGGGGAGCAAGTGAGAGGCAGCTGTGTGTGTGCTGGTGATTTGATGAAGGGAGCCCCCAGCCTCTGGCTTGATGAGGAGCGAGGACCCTGCCTGGGACAGAGTAGCCAGAGGGAAACTGCCTGAAATGTGTTGTGTAAGTGCCCCAGGCAGAGAAGAGCAGTCTGGTCCAGCTTGCAGGGCTGGCCCAAGGCTAAACAGGTATAAATTCAATGTGAGTAAACTTGGGCTGTGCATCAGGGGGATCTGAGATAGCTTTCCTCATCTAGGGAAGCCCATGAAAACAGACCCTTTGTCAAGCGCAGCGTGGGCTTTGGCACAGAAGTGTGAGCTGGTTCCTGTGGGATATGAGCTCCCTTCGCCGTGTCCCCAAGCAGTGCAGGGGAACTGTCCCCTGGGCCCTCGAGCAGCTCCTACCTGGCTGTGCTGTCTGGGACCTCAGAGTCATCAGCTGCTTCTCACGTACAGGAGCTGTGCGAAGGCTGGGAAAGGAATTTACTAAAGGGGAATAATTCCTATCTTGATTACTTTCTTTAAGGATGTGCTGACAGTTAATTATTTAAATGTATATTTAGTTAGTTAAGCCAGAGACTATACATTTACACTGAGCACCTGATAAACTTGATCCCTTTTTGATTGGAAAAGATGTTTAATTGCCCGTCATCAGTGCTCTGAAATTACATTTATTTTTGTATAAAATTCAATCAGATTGCAAGTAAGATGCTAAAATCTGTTGCTTCATTAATTCATATCAATAGATTTGAATTTTTTTTTTTTTTCCTATAGTTAGTGTTTCTGGTGGATTTTTTTTCTGCCTTATCTCCTGTCTAAAAGCTTGTTTTTTATTCCTGACTTTAGAACTACAGCAGCTCTGATTGGGAATGAGTTTTGCAATCGCCCCCACTAATATGAATCAAATACCTATAAATATATTTCCTTTTCTTTTTTTTTCTTTTTTTTTTTTTTTAAAGCAGTTTCACCTTTTAGGCAGGAAGAGATTCTCTTTCCCTGGGAGATTTACAATAGTTTAAGGCAGTGGACAGCTGCCTCCTAGCTCTGTCTTGTGACGTGATTATTTTCTGCATAGCTTGATGGGTTTGTGGTCAGCAGGGTAAGTGCTGTGAGCAAGACAGTCCAAACAAGGCAGTCCTGAATGTGTGAAAGGTGGGGTTGGAGTAAGACAACTTTAATTGCTGGACACTGTATGGTCTCCTCTTTTTCTGCCTGCCTGGAGCGGACGCGGGGCTGAGGTGTAGACCCGAGAGGTGGGATGTTGCTGTGTCCTACTCTGGCTTCTGTGGCCGTATCTCCTGGGCTGCAAGCTGTGGCAGCCCTGAGCTTTGTGTCAGTGCATAGCCCGTGATCCTGCAGAATAGCTCTTGGCTAAAGGCAGAGTGTACTGTTGTCTTGCAGCCTAGCAGGGGGAGGACAAGTGCGATGTCCATGCAGGGTTATTTTCTTGGAATATTTGGCAAGCGAGGTGCAAAGATTTGGGGGAGAGCAGGGTGTTGGGAGGTCTGACTAGCTCCAAGCTTCTGAACACGGTATGATTAGTGTTCTCCCTCTGGGGACCTATATCATCACCTAAGTCCTAATTATAGTGTTGTTTTGACAGCAGTCATGGTGATCACAGTTAATGGCACTGATAACACCTGTGCCGTTTGCTTTGTTTCTCATTTGGCAGTGTTCTCTGCATCCCCAGCGCTCCTGGGACCCTCGCTGCCTTCTCCATGTTACTGTGTTGCTTGAAAATGTTTGAAGTATAAGAGTCCTTGTGTTTGGCCTGTATACCTTTTATAAAGGAACATTTTTGTCCTTAAGGCAAGGCAGGCAAAAGGCAATCTGTGATACCGATCGTCATTAGCTGCTATTCAACAGTGATGAATGACCCTGGGAAATCTTGTTGTTAAAGGCAATATCTGTTCTTCCTGTTCTCAGCTCTTTCTGCCTTCAGATCTGTTCTCTTCTAAAAAAGGAGGGAGGGTGGCCCTGCCCTGTGTTGTATTGGAAAGAGACTCCCTCATACCTGTCACCACAGGGTGCAAGGTCACCCTTTTCTGCCTTGTGTGAGTGTCAGAAGCAACATCCAGTCCCGGGTTTGAAATTCACAGCTGTCGCATTGATGGGGGCCGAGTGATCTGCCAGCATTATGCCACTCACTCATTCCTCTGGCAGAATGCTGTGCAGATTGCCTAACTCATTTGTGGCCAAACATTGGGTTTGTATCTGGCCTCTTACTGCTTTTAAAAAGATTGTTCTTTTTGATGTTTCTTAAACATATATTGCCCTTTCTGATGTACCTTTTGCAAAAGGATCTCAAAGTGCTCTTGGAGCCACCCTAATTGCTGTTTTACAGATGTGTATGTAACCCAAGGTTTGGAGGAGCTGCAGGACTTTCTTAGTGCTCCAGTTGGGAACTGATGCTGGGACTCATTGCTGTACACGTCGGCACTGTTCTGATTTCTAGATTACAACTTGTGTCTTCAAAACTTTGTTCTTATCTGGCCAGACTTGACATAGTCTGTCATCTCCATGCATTCAGAAGAAAACATTTTGCTATGCGTGATATAGTCTTGTTTTGGTCTAGGACTTGATCTGGGAAGGTTGTCAGACCTTCCTGGCTGCTTGCGGTGGGCCTGGCGTCTGGGATGTCACTTCTGTGAATACTTTGAAATCCTGCCTATCTGGAGGAATGTGCAAATCTGTATAAGTGGTTTGCACTGATTTAGGGTGAGGCTTAGGGGCCACTTGAAGTGAGCTTCCCCCGCTCCCCATATCTTTGTTCAAACCCACAGTCAGGGACATACTGTGCTGTTAGCTAAAAGGTTGAGCGTGGTGGGAGAATTGCATTAACAAGCCCCAGCGTCTTAGCTGTGGAAAAGCAGCTCATGTTCTGCAGTGTCTCTCTTCTGAACCACACCATATGGCCAAGCCCAGCATCTTCAGCTTGTCAGCAGTAATTTGCTGGCTCAGGAAGGACTGAATCTTCTTTTCTGGTATTAAGATATGAATAGTAGGTGCTTGCTGAGGTGGTACAGGCCCAGGCTGTGCCTGTGTGTCAGCAGAGGAGAAACTTAATACCTGGGGGCTGAGGGGGTAGAAGGCTTTGCTTTCTCAGGTCGGGATGGTTTGGAGCCCATCTAAATGGGCAGAGATGTGACCTGTGGGATCCACCTTCTGCTTTTCTTCAGTCTGAGAACTGCTCATATCATTTCTGGAACTTGCAAAGCTTCCTGGGTGGCAGATGGATGAGGCCTTTTTGGAACCCATCAAACTAATGAGTGCTTCTGTCCAAGGGTGACCTGCCTTTGGAGGAACCCTGAGCTCCTTACCTGACAAGGAGAGGTTTGTAGCAGCAGAAGTCCTTCTGCTCTTGGAGCAAAGAGTTGTCAACAGGAATAGCTGATGTGATCACAGAGGGAAAGTGCTTTGGGCTAATTCAGAAAGGAGGGAGCTGCTTGCTTTTGACCATCTTGTGGACTCTTCTAGGGCCATTTTTCTTTGGACAGTGCTGAAAATATGTGAGTGAATCAAGATGCTCTCTTGTTGTGGGATTTCAGCTGTGAGCTTTCCTATCTGCTACCTGAAACCAACAGCGGACAAAGGACATTGTATTTGTTAGAGGAAAGACAAGGTTACTTACTCTAGGTCTCTGGAAACAAAAACAATGCTCCTTTCCCCTTTCCTTTCAAGGGCAACGTACGGAGAGAAAAAGAATTGTCCCATGTAAACACAATTCAGGATTCCAGCAACTTAATGGTAATGTTGCCCATGCAGATGGAGTGAAAAACTGGAGAGCAGTGCTTGTTGGATGGACGTGAAGATGCCATCAGCGTCTTCAAAACCCTGGGCCCTGCCTGTGAACTTAACAGAGAGACCTGTCTGCAAAATTGTTCCAAGTAGACCTCAGCCCCGCTGCTTCCTTCTGCCAGTGGGTTTGGAGCTCTGGGTGTATGTTCAGAAAATGCGCAACCTGCAGAAGAAGAGGTAGGGGAGGGCTCAGGCATGTGCTGCGGGAGGAACTGGGGCTGTAACTTGAGTCTGTTCTTACTGACTGTTTTCCCTTCCCTTTGCCAGTCTGCCAAGGTGGTTCAGGTTGGCTCATTTGAACAGCACATTCCCGTCTTCTGCCTAAATTACACTTCAAGTCTTTTCTTATGGACAGTTGAGCTATGGCCTTTAGAAGCTGTTATATGTGGAGTGTTTTAGTGTGCTTGAGTTTGTTCATTGACCTTTAGTTGGTTCTTCTGCCCTCGGCATTGTGTGTCTGAGTGCTTTCAAGCCTGCAGTAACTGAACTGTATGCAAAGTTCCCAGAACTAGCTCTGGCGGTGGGGCCCCAAGGATGTGGGAAGGGCAGATGGGTTTTAGAAGTGGGTTATGTTTCTATTAATAATTGCTGTCCTTGACTGTTGTCCCTTTACATGGCAGCAAAGGCTTGGCAGAGTGCAATGCAGAGAAAAAGCCTCCTCTCCCTTCTCCTTGTTTGCTTAGGTCCCAAACTGAGTAGTGATGTTAATTAGATAAGTCAGATACTCTGCAAACCAGCCTGTTCAAGAACAAACGTTTTAATAAAATGTTGTGTGTACTGGAGGGTCATGTCACTGCTTTGTGACTGAGTAGTTACTGTGGGAACACCAGGAGAGCACCCAGAGAGTGTGCAAGTGTGTGTGTGTGAGTGTATCAGGCCCTGAGGCACAAATTTCAATTCTGGTGGTTTCCACTGGCAAATATGGCCTGAGTGAGATGCTGTCCTTGGAGCTGGGTTTTGTTGCTGTAGGCTGTTCTGTGTTGAGTGGATGGGAACCCTCACTTCCAGCTATTCAAATAGCACAACAAATTTGATCTGTACTAGACTGCAATGTGATGAATTAGGGAAAGTGGTCTCTAGCTCAGCTTTTAGACTGTTTACAGCTGAACTCAGTCTCTTAAAGAGAACCTGGATATTGGGAAGAGTTTTGTTTGTGTTGAAATTTGAAATGAATTTATGCTGAAATTTGATTCTTGCTCTGTTCTTTTCTGACTGGAACTCAACATTAGTCCCTGTGATAGTGGCTCATTCCTGCATTTCAAGTCCTCTCAAGATTCATCTCTGTTAAGCTGCCTGAACTTAATCTTGCTGATTTGAGTATAAGGTGTTCCTTGTCTTTCTTCCATCTCAAGCAGTCTTTCAGCTATTTGAAATCGTTTTTTTCTATCGGTAGAATCCCATCAACACCTGATGATGACATCAGATAACTGCTTCTAGTGATCTAAAATGTAAATGTGCCTTGGAGCTGATGGAGGTTTGGTATGATCCCAAAATGGGTCCCTCTAATTCTACATGCGGTATCAGAAGCTCATTCTTACAAATTTTTATGTGATCTAGCAAGTGGATCAGTAGAGAGAAATTAAACATTTGTAATATTAGCAGGCTTAATATTTTTATTTCCCCAGTAAACCAGAAGTTGAGGGCAGGGACTGATACTGCACTGGCACTGCAAGCAGCCTTCCTGCACAAGTAAAATAGCCATTTAAATGTAGGCTCTGCAGTGAGCTTGAAATCAGATATTTGTGGGGGAGTTTGAGGTGGGAGCTCAAATGAGAATGAGCTGCTTCACAATCCCATTCTCCCTCTTGCTACTCAGTGGTTTTGGGGGCAAATGAGCAGTGAGACAGGAGAGGTCACAAGTGTGTTTGGAGGGAGAGTCTGAAACCACCTCTTTTGCCCCTTTTTTTTTTTTTTTTTTTTTTTGGACAGTCCTTGTGGGTTGTCCTTCTTTGGAGGATACAATTTGGCTGCCAAGTGTTGGGTGTTTGGAGCCATACAGAGCCAGCTCAGCAGGAAGATTGCCAGGCAAATAGAGTTGGATTTTAGACAGTTTATCCACTACTCATAGAGGAACTGGCTTTGTTTCCTGGCAGCTGAAAATACGCCATTCTGCCTGTTTGTAGGAAAAGTGTATCGGGACTGGGATTTTGTAAATGCATCTCCCCATGCCCCTTTGCAGCAGGAGGAGGCAAGTGCTGGGTACAGACATGGGCAGAAGATACTGGAGCAGGAGGATACTGCCCGGGGGCCTGTGGGTGCAGGGTGGCAGGTTGTGCCCCCAGGGAGAGAAGCCAGAGCAGCACAGAGTGCCCTGGCTTGGCCAACACACCTCAGCCTTGGCCTGTGGGGACTGGGCCCTGGCTCGTTGTAAGGATGGGTTTGGGGGAAGCACCTTTTAGGGCTCAGCAGAAAACCACTATGGGAGATGTCAGCTGGGCTGCTGCTATCACAGCGATGATGAGCAAGTTGCTCTCTTGGTCTGAGTACCGCAGTTAAACTTCCTGTGAGTGCTCTTTGCCTGAGAACAGAACAGAAGCCACCTTTGGACACTTACTATCTTTTTGTCTGAACCTTGCTTTTCTAACTCTGGACAGCTGAGCTATGTTTTTTCTGAGCAGACATCCACCTTTGACCTAGTTTTGACTTTTAAAAATACATTAAGCAGAAATGAAAAAGACAAAAAGAGCAAAGAGAAGCATCTGAATAGAAGAGCAGGACCATGCTGTGTCTGTCCAAGTCATGAAGGGGCTGACTTTGCAGCAGGCAAGACATTTCCGAATGTAAGCTTTCAAATGCATGCACTGTCCCTTCTGAGAATTTTGGATATGCGTGGCCTAGCAGGGAGAGCTGTAACTCAGAGAGAACTTGGTGGAGGGCTCAAGGGAGCACATTTCCTTTTTTTTGAAGCTGTATCGCTGGTCTTGCTTCTCTCTGCTGGCTCTCAAAGTGACAGCACGGCATGCACCATTGCCAAAGGTGTTGAGAAATGCAAGGGAGGAAAGTCAGCCTGGAGGCTAATGTGCAGAGTGCCTGTGGAAAAAGTGACAGCAGGAGAGTTAATGAAAAGCAGACACCAAGCACTGGAAGCTGCTCAGCCAAGGAATTCTGCACAGTCCAGGGTTTTCTCTGGTATCCAATAAAAATGTGTTACAATTTGGCTACTGTCTCTATTACCCAGGGGAAAGTGGTGGAGGCATGAATAGCCTGGGTACGTGGCTTCTGCACTGTGCACCACCTGGAAGAAAAAGAGGTGCCATGTTACTCCTGTGATATGAGTGTGCATTTTGAGAGCCAGGAACTCCAAGTTCCTTGTCCAGATCCCTACTGTGACCCCAGGGGCTGCCTTTGTCCACTTGTGGATGCAGTCAGGAAATCTGGATGCTCCTGTGTCTCATGCCTAGGAGATTGGATGCTCAGAGGTGCTGAGCACCCACCATGTCCACTGAAAGCTGGTGTCCACACCACTGAGGTGTGTTAGCTGTGTGTCCCTGAGTTGTTATCACCTAAACAGTGTTTGATCTGGGGTTGGTACCTTGATGCTTGGGCTGAATGTTGAGGCAGTTGCTGCCTGGAGGGTGGCTCCCTCCAGGTTTTTTTTTTGTTTGTTTTGTAGTTTTTTGTTGTTTTTTTTTTTTTTTTTTTCCCCTCTGGTGCAGTGAGTAACTGAAGGTATACAATGAAGTAAACTTTTTAACCATTGTGTAGCAGCATGGGTACACTGCAGTCTAACTCCTCTAGAAATGATGGTCTTGCTTTTGGCAGAATGGAGGCATCCTGCCTCGAACTGGCCCTGGAAGGAGAGCGCTTGTGCAAGGCTGGGGACTTCAAAGCTGGGGCAGCCTTCTTCGAAGCAGCAGTGCAGGTGGGGACAGAGGACCTGAAGACTCTCAGTGCCATCTACAGCCAGCTGGGCAATGCCTATTTCTACCTAAAAGAGTACTCCAAGGCCTTGGAGTACCACAAACACGACCTTACCCTGGCCAGGTACGCATGTCAGCAGTGCTTGAGTGAAGGCAAGCTCTGTGGGGTCTGAACCCAGCAGCCTGAGGGAATCTGCCCCAGAAATAGGCATCCAAAAGTAGCCCTGAAGCATGGGGTGACTGTCTCATGGAGAACTCGGGAAGTAACAAGAATGGGCCAGCCACCTTCAGAGCAGGGAGTTGGAGAAAGGGATATGGATGTGGGGAGGGTGCTTGGAGCAAGAGCAGGGCAGTGTCCAGTTCTCTCATCCCTAGGTACTTGTCATAAGTACACCTGAAGTCATTGGAGCAGTTCACCTGAGACAGCTAAACAGGGAATAAGGATCTGTCTTCAAAATTGAGAATGCCTATATGAAGCACTCCAGCCAGGCATGTGTGCTGGGAGCTGCTGGATGTGGTATACATGCCATGGCAGCACTTGCTACAGCTTGAATTCTGCCTCTAATAATTGGTGAATAAAAGTCTGTGAGCACTTTAACACCTCTCTTCCTTCCTCTGGTCATCTTGTAGAACCATCGGGGACCGCATTGGAGAAGCCAAGGCAAGCGGCAACCTCGGGAATACATTGAAAATACTTGGGCAGTTTGATGAAGCTGTCGTTTGTTGCCAGAGACACTTGGATATTTCTCAGGAGCAGGGAGACAAGGTATTTAGTTCATGGCATCCAACGGGAAATATTTCTTAGCTTTAAAAAGAATCCTTCTGCAAGTCAGTAAATGTGTTATGGTGAAGGTGGGCTTTAGAAGGAGGTGGAGTGTAAAGCTCTCCCTTTTGGCTGCCCTCGCAGGTCTCATGCTGCTGACAGTAGCAGCTTCCATGACAGTGAAGATGGGAAAGGAAAATGTGGGCCTCCTGGCTTTGACCATCTCTGCCCAGCAATGGAAGGGTCCATATTGAGATGTGAAGTGTAATACCTTGCTGCTCCCTGTTCTTCCTCCTTTTAGGTAGGTGAAGCCAGAGCACTCTATAATATAGGAAATGTTTACCACGCAAAAGGAAAGCACTTATCTTGGAACATGGCCCAAGACCCAGGCTACCTGCCTCAAGAAGTCAAGGAGACGCTACAGAAAGCTTCAGAATATTATGAGTAAGTATTCAAGCTTGGACAAGCCTTTCTCCTGTGGGGAACAGAGCTAGTCAGGCATCAGTGATTGCTAAAATGCACACAGGTACACCTTTGTTCAGCTTATCCTGCTCGGATCATAATCTGCATTTGTGGTGTTTCTGTTCTGCTGACAGCTTTCAGGGTCTGCAGGTTAGCTGAGCTCTTGATAACCATTAGGCTAATAATAACTGCATGAGGTGCAAGATGACAATTTTTACCCAGTCATTGAAAGCATTTCTCATAGCGGGGATTTGTTTCCTGGGCCACTGAGGATGTGGGAGCTCTGGAAGATGTTTTTTTTTAAAGAATGAGACTGTGGGCTCAGCATTGTTGAAAATCAGGTCACTGAATAAGATTTTGCATATTGTAATGAATTAGGAATATTCCCCTGAGATGCCAAGTTGCAGTGGCAAATTAATCTCAAGGAAGGTGAGAGAGGGACTGCAAGCTTTTATTAAAGTAGAACTAAAATTCATCCTGACATTGCCTTGGTAAAACTCACTGTAGTTCGAAGTATGATCATGCATTTAAATTTAATAGTCTGCTCCTTCTCGGACCTATATTTGGAAGCTAAACTGTTAGCTCCTGTAGCCCCTGCTGCTCTCTGCTGGCCTTGATGAGAATGGATCCTTGTGTGTCTGCATTGCTGAGGCCATGAAGAGACTCCTTCACCCAAGGGAAGATGCTTTCACTTGAAGTCCCTGTTGTCCTTCTCATGGATCTGTAGCTTATCTTGCTTGTAACATCCCTCCCTTTCCTAAATAGTTTCAGAGATCACTCTGATGACCCACACAAGAAGATTGTCACCAGACTTTTAGGCTAATGTTTTTCTCCTTCAGAGTTCTGCTTCAATAATGCAAGGGGGTTTAAGTGTCCTTTCTAAATTAAGAGAGTGATAAGATCTTATATCAAATCTCTTCATATCTGAGGATGTGATAGTGCCTATATGTAGCTCAGCATCCTTTTTCTGAAGAATGGTGCATGTAGCATAGCCAGTGGGTAAATCTGTGCCAGCTGGGAGCTCTATGCTTCTCTGTGTGTGCTGTTATGTGTAAAGGGGGAAAAACAAGGTAAAGAAATGCTGGGAAGCTCCATGAGCAGAGTGCTGGCATGGGACGATGGATCTTGCCCCTCTCCCTAGGTTTGTCCCTGTCTTGCTGTAGGTCTCCTTTCTCCTGTGCTCCTGGTTCTCCCCTGTACAGTGAGGTGGCCATTTCTTCTTTAATGTGGGATCCTATCAGACTGTCAGTGTGTGAGTGCTTGTGCAGTTCCTGTACACTGCTGCAGTTCTCCTGAGGTGAAGAGAGCAGCAGGGACTTACAGCACTGGATCTGCAGAGCTCCCAGAGCTGCAGCTAGCACAGATCACCAGCCTTTCACCTGCCACGGGGTGACTGTGCACCGGACAGGCGGCTGGGGAGGGGAAATGCCTTCTCCAGGGTTGGCTCTCCTTTCTTTACCATGCAAGTTTCTTTGCTATGTTTCCTGCAGTGTTGGCTATATCTCACCAGAGACACTGCTCTGATTTCTTGCAGGAGGAACCTGTCCCTGGTGAAGGAGCTGGGGGACAGAGCTGCACAGGGCCGTGCTTATGGCAACCTCGGCAACACCCAATACTTGCTTGGCAACTTCAGTGAAGCTATAGCCTTCCACAAGGAGGTAGGAAACCTCTGCGTCTTCTTCCAGGGGTCAAGGGCTGAGACTGGCTGTTGGGGAACAGCCTTTCTTCTTGCTGCAGCCAAGGAAGTACAGGGAAATGTTTTCCTCCAGCTGTTTTTCTCCCTCGTGTATGTATCTCTGGGTCTGGCCCTGTTGTACCAACTCATGCTGAGCAACATCCTACTCCAGTCCCCATCAGCACTTAATCAGCCTGAGGAGAAGGGTGCTGTTGGCTTGGAAACCAAAGGAGATACCTCAAGGCAAATTGCAGCTGGGTTTAGCAAGGCTTTTCTGCTCTTAATTTGTATCAGTCTAGATTTTAATAAATGCAAGCCATGAATTTAATTAATTTGATGAAAGAGCTGTTGATCGGGAGTAAATGTTGCTTGTAGAACATAATAACTTTCTGTAAAGCTTTACAGAAGGCTGAGGTAATAGAGTCCCTGCCCCAATTCAAGTGCAATTCAGCTTCTATTTCAGAGTACGTATTAGTCTCCTTGTAGTGGAAGCTGCTCAGCACCTTGGAAAGTCAGGTCTGTCACAGCTCCTCTGATTTTCAAATGCTGGGGAGCAGCAACCGGCACTGCTTTGGCAGAAGGGGCTGGAAGATTCTGTGCAGTGTTTGGAACTAGGAGCAGGTGCTGTGAGGTAGGGAAGCATGGGGAGCAGGGGGACACAAGAGAAGAGGCAGGACTGAGGTGTGGGCAGGGGCAGAGGTCCGGGGAGCAGCACAGACGGAGAGATGGAGTGCACACACGTGCATGTTGGTTCTGTGCTGCATCACAGTGCTGTGACAGCCTTGTTCCTGCACGTTAGTCTGCTGATCAGCCACATCCCTTCACAGCCTGACCTACAGCTCTCCATTCTCCTGTTTATTCAACTGTTGAAGTATGTGCATAACTCCTTCTGCACTTCAGCTAAAGAGATATGTACTTCCCAGGCTGGAGTAGGAGTCAGAGGAGGATGCGACATTACTCCCACTTTTCCAAAGGTCCTTCCTGATGCTGAATTGAAAAAGAGGGAGAGATTTCCTGCTGCATTTGGTCCCAATAGGCATGCACACTACTATCTTGCTGGGTGGGACCTTTGCAAACCAAGAAGTTAATCTCCTAGAAGAGTTGTTGTGTAACAGAAACGTGGCAATGGCCAGCTTGTACTCACTAATCTGTGTCTGCTGCAGCGCCTTGCTATTGCGAAGGAGTTTGGGGACAAGGCAGCTGAGCGGAGAGCGTACAGTAACCTGGGCAATGCACACATCTTCCTCGGGAGGTTTGACATCTCTGCTGAGTATTACAAGTAAGTGCCAGGGGCTAAGGCAGACTCGGGGCACATGTTCCTTGGAAATCTTGACCTATTGCAGTGAATTCATAGGCCCAGGGGGATGTGATGGGACCTGGAGGCCAATTGCATGCGTGGTGCTCAGCAGTAGTGGCGAGTAATACAGCCACCTGACAGCCTGCAGTGTGTTACAGGCATCAACTTCAATGCAGCGCATGCCAAAGTGGTGGCTTTCCTGTCACCTTGCAGAGGTGCCCTGCAGTGACCAGGTCTCTTCATTCTCACCTCTTCCATGCAGGAAAACGCTCCAGCTCTCCAGACAACTCAAAGACCAAGCAGTAGAAGCCCAGGCTTGCTACAGTCTTGGGAACACGTACACACTGCTTCAAGACTATGAAAGAGCAATCGAGTACCATCTAAAACACTTGGTGATAGCACAGGAGCTAGGAGACAGGTAAAGCACTGCCTGAGGAGATGATGTCTCTGCTCGGGTGGGTTCAGAGTGCTACCCTTCCCCCTTAACTTATTGTTCTCTGCTGCTGGGGTTAAAAAGGAGTGACATGTATTCTTGAAAATCTTTAGAAATCTCTCAGAACCCAGGCCGTAATCCAGTCATCTGTCAAAGATGTAACGTGATTGATGTCTCTATTATGTCATTCAAACCTGGAGATTGTGCCCTTAATGCTATGTCTGCGTGGGCTGAGTGAGATTTCTAGTAAGAGGTACTTCAAGAAAATGCATTGTATTCAGCGCTTTGCCATCTGGCTACCGCTGTTTTATCCCAGAAAGGCCCCTCTAAAGCTCCCTTAAGTTCACCAAAATTGTATATTCCTTAGAAACTGTGTGGTTAGGGCATAAGTACATCCCACTTTGTCCTGTTGCTCAGAGATGAGGCTGGAAACATCCAGGCAGAAACAAATGATGTTACATAGAGCATGTGGAGATGATGTATTTTGCTTCTTAGCCTCATTCCTCCTTCTGTAGGAGGCTTAGCCTAATTTTTTTTTTTTTTTTAATATATATATTTTTGGGGAAGTGGGTTCCTTTCTCCTGGATACTCTCTGTGATCCTGGAGCCTTCTTGCAGCTGAAGTGACTTTGCAGCCACCTTGTTCTGTGTCCCTGCTGCCGGCTCTTGGGAAGCTGGGTGTCCTCCACTAGATGGAGCAGAGACATCAGAATGGGAGATCTGTGCCACTACCCGGGCAGTGTCTGCTCAGAGAAGGTATAATCCCACCCAAGGGTGAATCATGCTGTGGGGGTGCAGGCCTGTGGGCTCCTGCATTTCTGGGAACACACCCTATGAGCAGAAGGTATTGAACAGGGTGACAAGAAAAATGTTTAAATGCTGATCAACCCGCCCAAACCTCTGAAAAGGGAGTTGCAGTCATGCCGAACCTCCCCCTGCGCCCCCATGTGCTTTTTTTATCCCATCACCCCCCACATCTGTTCGTTTGCAATGCTGAGCAGGCTCTGATGAGCAGTAGGTCTCTGCCTGCTTGTGCAAACAGATGCTGAAACCTGCTCTAGAGACAGACACCCAGGGTCTGGCTTGGGCTGGGGGTGAGGTTGAGGGCTTCCCCAGGACAAGTTTCACATCCCCCTGCTTCTCCTGGCTTCTGAAAACAAGCAGCAGTGCCCTAGTAGAAGCCTTGTGGAGATGGATCAATACTTGCTTGGCTCTTGAAAGCCATTTCAGTTTGTGCATGCTTCCTGGGTGATGCAGTGCTGGTATTTACAGGAGAACGTTGTGTGCTTGCAGTGTTCTCTCCTTGTCATGTTCTTGCTAGTTTAGCTCTGGGCTGTTCTTGAACAAAAGGGCTGAATGTTACATGTGCCCTCTTGATGTGTTGTGCATCTCTGGAGAGGAATACTTGCTCTGTGAGTTAGAAGCTGGACAGGAGCTCTGGCTTCTGCTCTCAGCCTGGTGCTCACAAATGAAGCCAAACCATTCTGGGTCCTTGCTGCACAATTTTAGCTTTTTTGCCACTTTGGGTGCAGGTCCGCTTCTGAGGCTATTGCTCATCCCCTGATCTTACTGACCTCAGCATAAGAGGAGTTTAAGATGTACAGTGCATTTCATTTTCCTTTATAGAACCTTCTTGTAGGCAAAAGCACAGCTAGGAGATCTGGCTGTTGGTGCTGTTGAGGAGGCCCTGAAAGGGCTGCTGTGCTTTGCCCAGCATTTCTGTGGTTGACAGTTTCCTGTTTTGCAGGGTGGGAGAAGGAAGAGCCTGCTGGAGTCTCGGAAATGCCTATGTCTCCCTGGGGAGCCATGAACAAGCTTTGCACTTTGCAAGGAAACATCTTGAAATCTCCCAAGAGGTAAGAGAAGCTGGTTCAGATCAGAGGGAATCAGTCCTCCCTGTTGAGAGGAAGACTTTATGCCAATAAATTATAGTAATGTAGTTCTTCTCTTGGTATGACTGCTCTGGAAAGCCCTTGTCTATGTGCTGTTTCAGTGGTGTCTTTAGGAACTGCAGAGCTTGGCTGGAAAATATTCTTTTGGTGGGAGACTTCCAGCCTTCCCCTTAATTACAGCTAATACATTTGCTGTACATTGCTTTTAACTGATATTCCTGGGTGAGAAAAGACCTGGGGACTAGCTGTCCAGTCTGCTGGCCAAGGTGGTGTGTACCAGCTGGTGTGAAGGAACTCAGATACCTCTTGGTGTCCAGTCTGTTAGTGAGACCCTCCCCTTTCCTGAGCACAAGGCTGTGAGATCCTGACTGAGGTGGACCCTGTGATTCTAGCTCTGGTCTGACCCAATTTGCTGGCAAGTACCTGGAGAAAACAAGGCCAGCTTCTAGCCAGCGGCTGAGTGCTCTAAACCTGCTGTATTTTGCATTGCAACAGAATGTATGTTTGACAAGTTATTTTCCCTCAGTGGAGCTGGCAGGGGGTCCCAGCTGTGAGGTGGTAAACTCTAGCACTGTCCTGATGCAATTAGTTGCTGATGGTGGCCAAGCACAGCCTGCAGCTAGCCCTGTACTGCTGCCATGCCGTTTGTGGTTTCATGTGTGTAGCTACTCTGGTTTTCACAGATGTGCTTGCCTAGATAGCTGCAGCTTTCCTAGTGCAAGAACCATATACAGCATTTTTAGGGGGCTCAGAAGTACAGAAAGCAGAAAGCAAGAATTCCATTGTTTGTTCTTTCCAGTGTGTTATGAGGAAATTGGCTGTGGCCTCTTTAGTCTTCCCCAGATGAAGAAATTGCCCTGATGAAGCACTAATTGAAATCACTGTATGTAAGTGCTTTGTGCGCTCTTCTGCCTGTCTATTAGGTTGGCTAAATCTTGAGGGTACGGCTGACATACCAGCCTAATTACGTGTTTAATTATACTTATCAGATGTGCAGAAGAAATACTGTTCTTTGGCCCTGTACATTTTGGGAAAAATTAACTTTCCCAGCTTTAGTTTGCTAGGACTTTTGCAGCACGGGGCTGATTACTCAGAGCCGGATAGCAGCTTGGCAATGTGCAGTGCGGATGAGGGGTGATGGGAGAACAGGAGCAGTACTGGTCCTGGTGACTGCTGGGGGTGGAGAGGAAACCCAATGGGGTAGGGGTTCACAGTGTTCCCATTCTGGGGTGATGGCTGTGATTACAGGGCATGTCAGGAGCAGGTTACTCATGGCAGGTGGCTAATAAACTCCCCCACATCATTAATTATGGAGCAGTGTAGAGACTGTCCATCTGTGAGGAGAGCTTGTATTAGCTTTTAGCAGCTAGTGATCTGTTATAAAGCTGATGTTTTATTTTAGCCTTGGGAACTAAGTTTGCTGCTTGTGCTGTTGTGGCAAGCACCAGCACTTTGCCCAGGAGAAACCTCGTGAAGTTAAACCTCTGCACGCTGATGTTTGTAACTCACTTCTCATCACCCTTTCCCCATTCAACCCCAACAAAAATTTGATGGTGACATTTGAATCCAAATGAAATCTGCTGAGGGTAACCACATTAGAAGCTGCTACAGGATGTTTGGAAGTTACTGAAAAATTTCCTCTGAAACAGCGAGGATAAAGGATGTGTACCTAAAAAACCTTAGAAGCTGCCCCAGCTCCCAGACACAGCTCTGGAGTATCTCTTCCACCTCTGCATATGGCAGGGGGCTCCTGAGAAACCGAGATGTCTGAGCTGAGGGCAGAAAAACAGGGCTCTGCTCTGGTGTGTGTGTGGTAGGTCCTGCCTAGGATCATTGTCCTGCCAGTGTGTTCCTCTGATGTTAATAGGGCCTTGGAGATGATCTGGAATGAGTGGAAATAAGGGAAGCATTTAACAGAACAGCAAGGACTGTGAGACCTAACCAGGACATAGTAATTTCTCTGGAGATGATGTCAACAGCAAATCTCTTGTAATTGGCAGGGGATTTGTGCCTGATGATAAGCTGTTTGATCTGCCTCCCTTTACTAGTGCTTGGGGCTTTGTCATAAATAATGTGTGGATTTATGATTTTGTTCTCGGATGGCTCACACCGCAGTCTATCTCGAAGGACCACAAAAGAGCTGTTGCAAGGCGTTTAGCAGGGAGTCGGGCCTCTCCAAGGGAACAGCCAAGGTCTTCCTCTGAAGATTAGAGGCTGTTTCTGAGTGACCTCTCTGTGTTCGCTAGTGATGTGCAGCACAGTAATTTTCTTGTTTGGCTAAACTTTGAGGAGGGCCCAGCAGCATGTCCCATTTTAAGTAGCGGGAGCCATTGGACAGATCTCTTCCTGAACACAGAACATCAGCTTCCTTGGCCTCAGGCCAGTGAGAGATGGGAATTTTGGAAAAATTTGGAGTCTAGAAGATTTTGGAATCTTGTGTGGGCAGATCACTAGGAACAACTCGAAGCTGTATAGATCTGAGCCAGGAGAAGAGGGCTTTTGGAGCATCCAAGCCCTGAGTGTGACACTGCCCACGTGGCTGGTAGTAGTGTGGCTGTCTGGTGCTCAGTAACTATGGAGATACTTGAGGAAGGGGGGTGAGAGTTTCAGGGCTCTCTGCCAAGCCATATGTGGCTACAGGACGGACCAGACATGCATGTTTACCGCTGGGACAGTTCTTTAGCAGTGGGTGAGCTGTGTCCACTCAGTTCATTGTACTGAACTCCATGGAATTGCCTTTTGAGATGCAGCCAGCGCGCAGCATAGCGTGCATGGACCTTCTCCCAAATTACCACTGAGGAATAGTTTTGGAGAGTTGGTGTTGAAATCTGGGCTATATGGTCTCTCAGGGTGTCTCCAAGTTCTCTTTTGGCTGGCTGCATGTTTACTTTGATAAGGGACTGGCAAACCCTTTGCTAGAGGCTGCTTGCTTAGGGCATGTTGCCTTTTAACCAACTGCCCTGTTGGTTTTCACCCTGTAGATCGGGGACCGGAACGGTGAGCTGACGGCACAGATGAACATGGCCCAGCTCAAGTCGGCCCTTGGCTTGAGCCCCGGGGATGAGGACATGGGTACAGCTCATCACTATTCTGGCTATGAAGCACAAGGTGAGTTTGTGAGCTTTTGCTGGCACTAAAGGACCCCGCAAATGACTTGGTATGGTGCATGGGGAGGGAAGGTGTTTGCAGGTGGGCAACATGGGAGGAAATACAAATGCCAGAGCCAGGCGAGGCTCTCAGCTGCCTCAGAAAGGAGACTGTGGTATGTTTGCTTTGTGCTTTCCGTAAGCTGCAAGGACAGGGAAGGATCTGCCCCAAAAAGGCCACAGAACGAGTTAATGGAATTAATCTGCACTGGGAATGAAATTCCACGTACCAAGCAGCAAATCAGCTTTTGTCTCTTTTAAAGCTTTGCCTGGCTCTTTTAACTGATTTGGCTGATAAAGCAAGCTTTCAGGTGACTGGCAGGGATTTTTGGCTGCTCGTGTTCAGATTAGCACCCAAGGAGCAAGCCTACAGCATGGGCTGAAGGCAGGTTGTGAGCATCAGCATGCTGGTTGCCGTCTCACCCCTGGAACACCTGCAGTGGTGCCCAGCTTGGAAACAAAGATGTGGCAAGACGTGGTTATGTCAGACAAAATGACTTTACCCACCACTCTGGGCCCGGGGTCGTTCTGCCTTTGCTCCCCAGGGAGCAGGAGAGCACAGCCGAGTCCACCACAGCGCGCTGCCAGCCTGACGTGTGTCCCCGGCGTGGGGACCGTCTGCCTGTCCTGGAACTGCCCACTGCAGACATTTGTGGGTGCCTGGCATGGGGCACTTCCAGCTGGTTGCTCTGTCGCTGTGGACAGACTTATTAATTCACACAGACGAAACTGCATCCCAGGAGGTGCCAACTGATTAAATGTGACCTTGTTAGTGCAGACACGTTTTTCTCAGGCGGTATGTTCTCTTTCCTGGTGGTAGAACTGACGTAGAAAAGATGATGCTCGGGTTGAGGCACGGTGCTCTGGGCGGGAGAAAGGCTGGCTGTGCATGTTTGCTCTCTGTATTGATCTTGAAGGCGTAGCCTGCTACGTCAGTGCTAAAGCTTTTCCTGCAGAGTTGAGCTGTGGGAGAGGGAGGCAGCGTGCCTTGCCGTGCCCCATCAGGAGCTGCCCGGGAGCCGAGTTGTTCCCTCAGAGGCGGTGTGGGCCACGATGGCTGCTCCAGCCTCCTTTTGCAGGTCAAGTCCATATTTATAACTGCTGGGAAACCGATTAGCTAGGGCCTTCTGTTCGTTCCTGGCACCTCGTTAGGGGCTTCCTTTTGGCGAATTATTTTGCTCTGAGAGGGGAACAGGAAATTAACCTTGATGTTGTTGCTGCTCCTGGGACAGAGTGAAATGTGGAGGAAATGAGTTGATGGGGTGCCAGGTGCCTCGGGCTGGGAATGGAGGGGTGCAGGGCAGTGCCAAGGACCGCACAGGGATGAATGCGCTGCGTGCTGCGGCACATTTGACTGGATGTGTGAGCATACTGTGTGAAGAGCAACAGTGGAAGGGGTCAGCCTGGATTTATCTGTGAGAGGGGCTCTGCAGCTCTGACCATATTGCATAATGAGGAGTACACAGACTTTTGTTAGCTGGAAATGGTTGAAAAAATAGAGTAAGGGGGGTCTCTGCTCTCATAACACATTCCCCACTGAATTTGGGCTTGAATGCAACCTGTCATGGACTGGTCTGGTGTCCTGCTGCAGGAAGGACAGTGTACCTTGGGAGTCAGGGAGGGTCTTGGTCCAAACAGAGCCCTTCCTAGGGAGAGGTGACCCTGGTGTGTGGCCGTGTCCGCCACACGGGTGGTGACACAGCCCCACCAGCTGCATCTCCCCTCCCAGCACGAGCCTTGCAGGGCATGCAGCACTGGAACGTTGGGATTTTTGCACGTGGTAATCCTCATCAGTCACTGGACTTAACTCTGAAGGTGAGGCAGGACAGGGCAGAGCCAGCATGTGGCCCGTGGGCTGTTCACTGCCCTCCAGTGAACCAGATGTGCCTGTGCTGTGTTAACATTTGGAGCCAGGAGTGGTTTTTCTCTCATCAGATGGAGCCAGAGCTGGTGTGTGTGTGTGTGATTGCTGGAGGGTGGGAAGAGGGGCTGAGCAGCTCTAGTCAGAGGCAGTGTTCGCTGGAGGTTGCAGTGACCTTGTTAAACTGTGGTGCCATTGCTCATGTTCCCAGGGCTGGGGCTGTTGTCAACAGAAGGACAAAGTGTTCTCTGGAAGAACCCCAAATGACTGGGACTTGCAGTGTGGGAGAAGGAGGGATCCCAGGGTCTAGGGCAGGTTTCCTTGCAGAGTAGGCCTTCCCAGTCAGCGGGACATGAGGATGCTGCCTCTTGCCATGTCATCAGAACCTGTTGGGGAGGTAAAAATCAGCTGCCGTTGTGTTTCATGGGCTGGGGCTGTGCAGCAGCATCTTGCCAGAGGAAGGGAGTGTGTTGCCAGTGCTTAGCCACATGCGTGCTTTTACACATGCATCTCAGGTGGGAAGGATGCTGTCCTTGTTGCATAGAGATTTGGAGAGAGGATGGATCTGCAGGACAGCCTGTGGAGAGGAGCCTGGCTCCCTTGATTTCTCCTTAGCTTTTATTCTGGCTTCAGCTCTCTTATTGTGAACTTCAGTGGAGGATGAGAGGCCACCAAGGTGTCTCTAAGCTCTTGAGAAGAAGGCTGTCAGGAATTTTGGTACCCTCCTGTGCACCTATTAAATGATTAGAAAAGTGTAATTATTTATATTATTAATAGCAGCAATTTACAGCAAGAGGAACATCTGTTTCTGTAATAGGAAGCAGGTGAGAGAGTTGAGATTCAAGTTGACTTCTGAACCAGCCGTGCCTTTTGATGTCAACAAATCTTGTGGTGAGGAAAGTTTTTAATTTTCCCTGCTTAAGGTTATAAAATGGCTGCATATTCATAAGGATGCTAAAATCATCTGATAAGGCAGACATGTTATAAAACATCTTAATTTCATCAGGCAGGTAGAATAAAGTTTCATAGCAAACTTGAGTTCTGGGAAAATCTGTACCGTTGGCTGAGAAACTCTGAGCCAGATCATCAGACTCTGATGTCCTTCACAGGTTACCTTTGCTTCGAAGTCTTGGGCATTGCCCTCTGCTTGGGGCGTGGGGGTGGAAGAAGTGTCTGATGTTTTCCTCTGCTGTTTTGCCTCCCCTTGCTGAGCTTACTGCAATTTTAATTAATATTCTGAGAGCAATTGGACGTCAGAAGACAAAGCTGGAGGCCAAGGAAGTGGGGCAGTGCTGCAAAAGCCTTGTGAAAGCAATGACCTTGTCAAGAAATGCAAACACAGAGAGCTTAAAGCAACAAGCTGAAAGAAGCTAGGGAGTAGTTAAAACATGAAGTGAATAAACAAAGGTTCTGTCTGTTTCTCTAATCAACTGCAAATGTGGCCCTGAAAAATGGTCTTGCCCCCTTCACACACCACAAGTTAAGAATTGAGTATTGGTAGGCTTTTGCCTCTGGAGAGAAGTAAGGGAACTTGCTGTGGCTGTAAGGGAGTTATTTTGTAGGGGTGAAGGCAACCGTGAACAAGAAGCAGTGCTGCCTGGAGCTGGGAGATGTCCCTGGGTGCAAACAGCCAGCTCTGCCCTCGACACCGCTGCTGGGCGTGCGGTGGGAGCTCTGCCTGCCCTTTTCCAGATCAGTCGGTTTGGGGTGAGGCTTCAGCAGCTGCTCGGCAAGCACTCGCTGTGCCTAGTGCCCTGCTGTAGCAGTGACTCGGGAGCGCTGAGCCGAGCCCTTCCTAGCCCGAGCCTGGTGGCAGTGCCAGCCTGGGCTGTCCCTGGGTGGGTAACTCGGGTCTCTGGTGTACATTGAACAGTGCTGCCTTGCAACGTGCCCCTTTTCAATTCCTCCTTGCCAGCTCTCTCCAGCCTGCCAGCTGGGAGGGGAACGCAGAGAAGGGGTGGAGGTGCTGGACAAAAGGCAGGGAGAAGCCCAGGCCAGCCTCAGGGCTTCTCCAAAGTGAAAACTGACTCTGGGCTGTTTTTCTTTTGCTCTGGGCAGTGTGTCAGCAGCTGATGGCAGTGGTAGTGTTAGGAGACACTGAGCAACACCTCATCTGACAGCTGGGTGTAGGTGGGGAGGGATGTAGGTGTTCCACAAGGCGTTGTAGATGCTTTCAGAGCATTGTAAGCTGGTTCCTGGCTTGGCTTCTGTGCTGTTTGCTGTATGCAGACACTGCTGCCCAGCTGCGCTCAGCAAGCTCTGAGGGAAGGAAAGGGCTTGGCCATGAGCCTGACTTTCCCCAGTTTCTGCACATCATCTGCTGAGAAAGGGTAGGCACTAGGCTACTCTGCTTGTTGGGTGTTCAGGAACCTCTGTGCTGGGCACCACTTGTCCCTGCATGAGAGGCAGCCATGCTTCAGGTGGTTATTCTCAGGTGATGAAGCGGGCAGCTGAGCCTGGGAGGGCATGAAATCCCACTCCTTCCTGAGCAGTGGTCAGCTGTGTGGCTTTGAATGTGGGTCTTTGCATCCTCGGTGCAGTTTTGAGCTTGCCTTCTTCACAGGAATCTTTGAACCCTTGGATCAATTAGACAGGGAGAGAAGAAATCTGCTTTTATGTTTCCCAGCCTGTTTGTTTTTGTTTGTTTGCTTGCTTTAAATACCTTTGAAGTATCTAAGAAGTGTTTAGGGCTGTTGAAATATGCTGGATTGACCAGCCCTCTCTTGATGCAGAGCAGGGAGACGGCAGTGCTGCTAAATCATACCAGCCTGTGCCTGGGGCTAGGATGCTGCTCAGGGACAGGGATGTTAGTTCTCTCTGGTTTGCTCAATCTTCCTGTGAAGGACTGTGCTGGGTGACAGCAGAGAGATTTGGCCTTCTGAGACCAGTGTCTCTGACAGTGGGACAGCCCTGCTCGCTGCGGCTGTGATTTCAGCATCTAGGTAGCGTTTGCCTTCCACTCGACAGATGAGTGCCGAGATCACATTGCTAGTGGCTATGGCATGGAATGTGCACTGTTCTTACTGGTCAGACTGAGCAAGCATAGTAATTGAAATTGCTTAATATTAAGTATCCTCACCTGTATTTGATTTTTCCCAAGA